TGTTCTGTACGTCGAGGGGGGAGTTGATAAGCACCCAGTGGAGAGATTTTTTTCAAAAGACCTCTACAGTGGCCTAATTCTCTGCTCACATTGAAGTCTAGTAAAATTCCCACTGACTTCAAAAGCTTTCAAAACTGCTCCGTGTTAGGCTAAGCCCAATCAGTATATTTTGAGTGAATTGATCCCAGGAGAAGGAAAGACCTGATTATCAATAATGGGATTGTCCACGGTTCATAAATGACCAAAGTCCATATTTAATCACTTTATCTTCTAGTTTTCCATTATGAGCTTCTGCTGATAGGTGAAAGGGTACGCTGGCTGAAATATCTTAACGAGAAAGGGAGGGAATTGGTCCAACAGCTTGGAAGTTGACTTTGGCTCTCTTATGCCTTCTCTATCTCTTCAAAATAAACCTCCCTAGGTCCTCAGCACTATGAACTTAATTTTGAGTTCAATGTTTTGATATTAAGAGACGCTTCTCTGTACGAAATAATATGTATGTTAGCCAAGCAGCAAATCCAGGTACTGCTATTTAGAGGTCATAAGAACGTCCATACCGGGTCAGACCAAAGGTCCATCTAGCCCAGGATCCTGTCTACCGACAGTGGCCAATGCCAGGTGCCCCAGAGGGAGTGAACCTAACAGGCAATGATCAAGTGATCTCTCTCCTGCCATCCATCTCCACCCTCTGACAAACAGAGGCTAGGGACACCATTCCTTACCCATCCTGGCTAATAGCCATTAACGGACTTAACCTCCATGAATTTATCCGGTTCTCTTTTGAACGCTGTTATAGTCCTAGCCTTCACAACCTCCTCAGGTAAGGAGTTCCACAAGTTGACTGTGTGCTGTGTGAAGAATAACTTCCTTTTATTTGTTTTAAACCTGCTGCCCGTTAATTTAATTTGGTGACCCCTAGTTCTTGTATTATGGGAATAAGTAAACTTTTCCTTATCCACTTTCTCCCCATCACTCATGATTTTGTATACCTCTATCATATCCCCCCCTTAGTCTCCTCTTTTCCAAGCTGAAAAGTCCTAGCCTCTTTAATCTCTCCTCATATGGGACCCATTCCAAACCCCTAATCATTTTAGTTGCCCTTCTCTGAACCTTTTTCTAGTGCCAGTATCTCTCTTTTTTTTGAGATGAGGAGACCACATCTGTACGCAGTATTCAAGATGTGGGCGTACCATTGATTTATATAAGGGCAATAATATATTCTCCGTCTTATTCTCTATCCCCTTTTTAATGATTCCTAACATCCTGTTTGCTTTTTTGACCACCTCTGCACACTGCATGGACATCTTCAGAGAACTATCCACGATGACTGCAAGATCTTTTTCCTGATTTGTTGTAGCTAAATTAGCCCCCATCATATTGTATGTATACATCATATTGTATGTATAGTTGGGGCTAATTTTTTCCAATGTGCATTACTTTACATTTATCCACATTAAATTTCATTTGCCATTTTGTTGCCCAATCCCTTAGTTTTGTGAGATCTTTTTGAAGTTCTTCACAGTCTGCTTTGGTCTTAACTATCTTGAGCAGTTTAGTATCACCTGCAAACTTTGCCACCTCACTGTTTACCCCTTTCTCCAGATCATTTATGAATAAGTTGAATAGGATTGGTCCTAGGACTGACCCTTGGGGAACACCACTAGTTACCCCTCTCCATTCTGAGAATTTACCATTAATTCCTACCCTGTCTTTTAACCAGTTCTCAATCCATGAAAGGACCTTCCCTTTTATCCCATGACAACTTAATTTACGTAAGAGCCTTTGGTGAGGGACCTTGTCAAAGGCTTTCTGGAAATCTAAGTACACTATGTCCACTGGATCCCCCTTGTTCACATGTTTTTGACCCCTTCAAAGAACTCTAATAGATTAGTAAGACACGATTTCCCTTTACAGAAACCATGTTGACTTTTGCCCAACAATTTTATGTTCTTCTATGTGTCTGACAATTTTATTCTTTTACTATTGTTTCTAGGACTAATTTGCCCGGTACCGACGTTAGACTTACTAGTCTGTATTTGCCGGGATCACCTCTAGAGCTCTTTTTAAATATTGGCGTTACATTAGCTATCTTCCAGTCGTTGGGTACAGAAGCCGATCTAAACCCTAGTTAATAGTTCCGCGACTTCACATTTGAGTTCTTTCAGAACTCTTGGGTGAATGCCATCTGGTCCCGGTGTCTTGTAAATGTTGTCTATCAATTAATTCCAAAACCTCCTCCTAATGACACTTCAATCTCTGACAGTTCCTCAGATTTGTCACCTACAAAAGCTGGTTCAGGTTTGGGAATCGCTCTAACATCCTCAGCTATGAAGACTGAAGCAAAGAATTCGTTTAGTTTCTCCGCAATGACTTTATCGTCTTTAAGCGCTCCTTTTGTATCTCGATCGAGGCGCCTACGTATAGCCCAATATAAGTAAATCTTACTCCCATAATCTGAGGTAGATAATGGACCTCCTAATTAGGATTTGTGTTTTGAATTAATGGGAGTTTCCCAAAAGCTGTGTGAGGAACATCACAAAGGAATGCTGGATGCGGAATATGTCAGTGAATAAGCGTGGGATGAGGATGTTTTGACTTGTTTTCTAAATAGGCGAAGACCATCAGATGCAGCTGGTTGTCAGGAAAACTGCAGAGGCCCCAAAGTGACCACCAGGTGATATCTGGTCTTGATGTCCCCAGACCTATGAGACCACTTTAATTTCCTTCTGAGAGAGGTGCATCTTGGACACTCCATGCATGGAACCCCATGGGCAAAGGATAATCTTGACTTCTACTCCCTAGGGGCTTGATTTGGCATTACTCCCTTTTTGCAGCCAAAAGTTTGTGCTTGATGCTGAGTTTCAAGTTCATGGCAACTTGATATGAGACAGGGTTTGGTTATGAAACTTAAAAACAGACCTGGTGGCAGTACTCCATCATGCTGCTGGAAACATTTAGCAATGCCTTTTTAAAGCTCAAAGAGGCAGTCTTATGTAAAATGGGATATTCTTCAAAATAGATAATTGTGTATGGTTTTTATTTTGTTTTTTGCAGGGGGTGGGGCGCGAAGGTGGTAATGGGTGGAATGATTTTTATAGTGAATCTGTGAGACAAACCTCTCCATCATCCTACTGAATTTCTTGTTACAACCAAGAATACAACACAACTTTGTACTAGACCATTCTGTGATGCCTCAGACAGACACCAAGGGGTAATTATTAGAGAAGTGCTTAATTAAGTATGAGGGTCCTATTCAACCACTTGTCGTACACAGCTTGTGACCCTGCTTTGTGTGATGGAAGAGCAGTAGTTGCTCAGCCTGAATTCCCCCCGCTGCAAAGAAGTGAGCAGATGGGTTGGGGGTTAGAAGTAGCCCTGGAGCTGTCCTTTCTCTACACCTCCTCCCAGATGGCCAGCTGACATGCAGGAGTATGCTGCGCTGCAAAAAGAGTTGAAATAACTTTCTCGCTGTCCAAATCAAAAGGGGAGGAGTTGTGGTTGAATCTGCTTCTGGGACTACCCTGCTATGTGCCCCTGCCTTACTCTAGGCAGCCTATAAAGTTACAGTCTGGCCCTATCAGGCTGGTACTGTGGATGTCGGTTTCCCCCCGCTTTCTCTCTTACACCATTTAATGTAATTCCACAACAAACATCTTGTCTCATTTCTTATTTGGGGTAAAACCATTTGAAAAATCTTATTACTCCCTCTCCCTTGCTAAGCCTCTATGAAAATCTCCTGGGAGGAAAACTCTTGATTTTTAAAGGCATGATTAGAGGGTTGAAATGTGGAAATGGTGTTAACCCTCTCCTGCCCAGGTCTCAGAGTGACAGACCAACTGGTGTTGGCTGCTGGGCCTTTCTCACACACTGGGTTCTTTAGGACTTCTTCAGCATAACAGCTTTTGGCTGGGAAGCTTTGCTCTTTGTGGTTTTGGTTTTCCATATGGGGCATTCTGCTGCATTCCTGTAGAGAGATGGGTTAGGCATAATGCCCTGGAAGGCTTCAGTTTTCTGAAACATTGAGCAACTCCCGTGGCTGATGCTGACGTCCTTAGAATACGAGAATCCCAGAAAGCAGAACTCTGCAATGCCCATCAGCTCAAAGCTTTCGTAACTGTATGACTTGTAATCTAAATAAAACCAATTATGCAAATTTGATGCAGTATAGGAAGATCAAAAATACCACAGCCTAACAACAAAAGCTCCCACTGCACCATTCTTTCTCAGTTACTTAAAGCTGCATCTCCTCCATCTCACTGCATACCACCATATTTACTATCACATCTTAAGTCCATCAGGCATGGTGGGAAAAGGACAAGCAGCCTGTATGCAAAGTCCAAGTCAATGTCTGTGCATGGAGTGTCTTGGGCCAAGGGGGGCACAGAAGGGATTGTGTCTGTTTTAATACAGAGCCTGAACCCATCGATGTGGGTCTTTGGGTTTAACTGTATAGTTTTGTTTCCCTCTCTCAGATGGCAACAGGGAGACAGAACTGGTTAAAAACTAGAAAATATTGTAAAGCCACAAGAATTGGCAGTGGGACTTGGAGTCATAAGAATGGCCCTACTGAATCAGACCAAAGGTCTGTCTAGCCCAGTATCCTGTCTTTCTTTCGACAGTGGTCAGTGCCAGTTGCCCCAGAGGGAGTGAACAGGTAATCATCAAGTGATCCATCCCCTGTCACTCATTCCCAGCTTCTGGCAAACAGAGGCTAGGGACACCATTCCTGCCCATCCTCGCTAATAGCCATTGATGGACCTATCCTCCATGTATTTATCTAGTTCTTTTTTGAAGAACCAGATGTCAGGTGTGGTATCTGAAACTTCACTGAATATCTTTTTGAAATTGACTAGATTTCAAGTTACAGTAATCCTTTTAATATAAACTTTTGGAATAGGGACTTTACTTTCTCTGAGTCTGAAGAAAGCTCACATTAAACGTCTGAATTTTTAGACTGAACTGACTTTTTTTTTCTTCTTTCTTCTCTTCCTCCTCTGCAGATATTGCTGTATAGAAGATGCACTATTACCGATACTCTAACCCAGAAATCAGCTGTTGGTACAAATACCTGCTTTTCAGCTACAATATCATCTTTTGGGTGAGTACAAGGCCAAAACTCTCCTTCTGTAGCATGAGGTCCTCAGCCTGGGACTTGTCTCCCTGAAATGATGTCCTTCAGCACGTGCATATTACTCAGCGAGAAAGTGAATGGCATGGACTTGGATGGAGGCTTTTGTGATATGGCCAAGCATGACTGAAACACTCAAACTAACTTCACTTCCAACTTAAATTGGAGGCAGACAAATGTCCAGATTTTTGGATATTGTCTTGTTGGTTTCAGCATGTCAGTAGGCTCAATCCAGTACAAATAACAAAGAAAAATGTGGTCCTGGCTCCAGCGAGTTGACAGTTTAGGTTAGAAAAACAATATAGAAGTTGATAGTCTAGTCTCAGAATCTTGGATGTCCATCTGAATTATGGATGGCTCCTGGCAGAGACATCCAGGTATATGGACTGATTCAGATGCCTCTCTAGTCTGAATCTTTTGGGTATGGAAATGCTACTTGAATAGCCTTTCCTGGACATTGTGGCTCCTCTGTCCTGATCCAGGCTGGAACCAGGAAGCACCGAGTGTGTGTGTGTGTGTGTGTGTGTGTGTGTGTGTATTGAAGAAGAGTAACATGGGAAGTTATCAAAGATCTTCTGAACATCAAAAACAGTAATTTTCCTTTGACTAGTGTCCCTTTAGGTGCTCCATTTCAGATGTGCATGCACTTCTTCAGCACTGTGGGGATGCCGCTCAGGAGTCACATAAAGTGGAGCACCCATAGGGACACTACTCAAAGAATAAGAAGAGGAGGTTACTCCCCTTGTGCAGGAACTGTGGTTCTTCAAAGTGTGTGTTCATATGAGTGCTCCGCTACTGCTCTCCTTCTCCTCTGCTTTAGACTGTGTTCTGTGTTAGACGTTCAGATAAAGAAGGAACTGCCCGCACAGCTCTATATCGCCTCTCTGTGGCATGAGATTGTACAAAGTGCGTGTGCAGAGCAAATGGATAGTAATGGAAAAATCTCTGAACAATGGCTTGAGAGGTGTATGTGTAACCCACACACCACCGGGGTGTGGTTGGTTTTTTTTTTTTTTTTTTTGTTTTTTGGGTTGGGTGGGGTGGGGGGAGGGGGAGGAGAGAGAGAGAGAGAGAGAGAGAGAGAGAGAACATCAAAATGACTATTTGTTTTTCCTTCATAAAACTTGATACCATGACACCAGGGGTACAAATTGACATATTTCCATTAAAGCCAGTGGAACCATACTGACTTACACCAGCTGGGATCTAGCTATGTTGGAAGCTGCTATCACTGGTGACCATTCTTGTTTAGTAGGCCATATCCTTAGCTGAAGGCAAGTCATTTTTAATGAAAACCGGGACCTCTAAACTGAGATAGTGTAGATGATAGTTCACAATAGAACAAGTAATGTGGAAAAAGGAGAGATTCTCCAGCAGGGGATATTTCTGTTTTCCATGATAGCATTATGATAGTCCTAACCTTCTGTGCTAGGCTTGTCATGTAACTGTCAAATCATTTTGTTTTTGTAACTTGACAATAGGAATGTACAGCACTAGGAAAGGGTCAGAAGTCCCTGACACTTCCGCAAGACTATCAATGATCTGTAACTAGTCTCTTATAGCAACTCAGTTTTCCTTCTCATTCTAAGTTCTCCCATCCTTTATCACGTTTTTTTTCTTTTTCTTCGCAAAGGATAGAGTGACCTTTTTCTTTACCCCTCTGTTCCCAACCTTTCTAAAAACTGATAGTGATCTTTAACTGTTCCTTTTCCTTACCTCTAGGCGTTCAGTTTGCCTTGTTGCTCACTGGAATGAGAGCTGATTCTGAGAGAAGAAAGAGCAAAGATTTTGCAAAGGTTCTTTGCTAAAGAGGGATAAAGGAGCAGAGAACTTGAGCATTCTGGTTTTGAGCTATAGCTTTTCCCTCCCCTTCCGGATCACTGTTTAATGTTTCAAGTGCTGAATTTAATCATAGGGCTGTAATTTTGAAGAGATAATAGTTGAGTCTTTGCACCCTTCCAATTTAATGTTTTGGGACTTGCATTAAAAGCTCTGAGTGTGCTGGTAAATGATTGTACCTCAGGCTTAAACCGCCTTGATAGGTCACCATATTGTATATCTTATCTGTTGTAGAAGAGGCTATTTAATTTAGCCTTGGAAGTACCTCTCTCGGCTGACCTGGCAGTCTGTTGCATGGGGTCAGGACTATAGTGGTTGGGAGGGTCAGATTGTGCTTTGACAGTGACTTCAAGACTTTGCTTCTTTCTGTGGAGGAAGGCTGGAGTTGCAGAAAAGTGCAGGCCAAACACATTCACAAGCCCATCTCAACCGTTTACAGTGCTGTGTTAGTGATCTTGGAAGGGGCTTGTCTCTGTCTTGCATAAGACTTCAAGAAAAATGCTGTGGGTGTGTGCAGTATCTCAAAGTAAAAGATTGCAAGGCATCTCAGAAAGGTCCTTAGCCAACTTATCAGGATGGGGTAATAACTTCCTTAGTTACAGTCCTGAGATTCCTTCCTACATACTCACTCTTCCCTCTAGACGTATAGTGTACTAACAAAGGGTAAGACTGAAGACTTTCTCCACTGTAAATTTTAAAATGTACAGGAGAATAATAGGCCAAATTATACCTGTTCTGCACAATATTGCTATGGGGGAAAGGCCCGGGAAGCACAGATGCAGAGGGCAACCATAATCTCTGAGCACAAATGCAATGGGGAAAAGGGGTTTACCAGCATTGCCATGAGAGCTGAACATCCTCCAGGGTCCTATCTGGGTGGGGGCAAGTTCAGGACCCTGCCTCTCGTGTCCACTAGTTAGTGCTGGCAAGCACCACTGGGATATAGCACAAGCCACACTTTTTTTTTTTTACACACAGGTGTAGAAACGGCTTAAGATAAGCACACTCCTCCAGCACACGTAGGGTTGCCAACTTTCTAATTCCAGAAAACCAAACACCCTTGCCCCACCCGTCCCCCGCTCACTGCACCCTCCCCAATTGTTTGCTCTCGCTCACCCCCTCTCACATGCTCATTTTCACTGCAAGGCCCAAACATGCATATTTATTGTTTTGACGGATGTATTGTGCTAAGTTCAGGTTTTATTTGTTACAGGACGCTAGAGCTGGCAGCAAAATAGTCAAAAAGGGTAATTTTAAAAAAAATGAAATTTCACAAACTTTTTCATGATTCTTTCCCTCCCACTCTTCCCATTTTTTATAACCAACTCCCATGTTTTTTGTTCACTAAAGTTGTTATTTTATGTGTGGAATTAGGACCACACATTATCACAGCTGCAATGGGTCCATTAAAGGCTCACTCCTGAAGCCCAAATACAAATACATAGACTACAACCACAGAAATGCACACCTGTAGAAACTGACTCTCACACCTACATGCAAATACACATTTGTATTCATGTGTACACATCTAGCATGCGCGAACACACATACTTCCACATTATTTAATATTACAATTATTGTTTAGTGCCTAGAGATCCCAACTAAGATCAGGGCTCCAGGATGGCTGGTGCCAGATGTGTACACACACAAAAAGTCTGCAACAAAGAGTTTATAAGGTAGCTAGACAAAGGTGGGGAGAAATGTCTGATACATTGGCTCTTTGCAATTACTAGTCAACAACATTCACGTTTTAAGAAATAATACACTTCTTTTAGAGATCCCTTCTCTTTTTAAAAACTTGCTATGAAATGAATACACATCTATTTTATGTCATCAATTTTTTTGTGAGGAAACCAGCAAAAAGACTAAAAGTCTGAAAGTTAGGCTGCAAATTTTATTCACACAGGTATAGACACACCTCCCTACTCAGACACAGTCTCTTACACACATACAATGCAAGCATGTGCACGCTTGCCTACACAGAGACACTTTTACATACACTTTTTTTCCAGGGGCTGCCTAAATCACTCATCCGGGAAGAGAGGAGGGTGGGCTGGAGGGGAAAAGATGGGGTGGTGGTGGTGGAGAGACAATGGGGAGGGAAAGAAGCCAAGGACGAGAGCAGGGTGCAGGTGAGAGGGCAGTGAAGGAGGAGGTGTGGGGGGGCGGTATGTGGGGTGGATGGGGATATAGGGGGAGGCAGAAGGCTACAAGTACATGAGGATGGGGGGGCACAGGAGTGTTTAGGAACGTAATGGGAGTGCAGGGCTGTGGTGGGTGAGAGACATGAGGGTAGCGGCTCTGAGAGGTGGAGAGGATGGGTGGGAGAGCACTGTAAGGGGTACAGGGTTGGGATGGGTAGGTGGGGTCAGAATGGGATGGTGGAGGGATGCAGTGAGGGGGATAAGGGTGCAGGGGGGGGGTTGGGGAGGCATGCAGCGCAGGGGGATGTGGGTGCAGCCCCATATCCCCATCTCCGAATGCTGGGTACACGTACCTCGAACTCCTGGGTGCCGGCAATGGGGGGGACAGACAGACCGCGGTTTGCCGCATGGCATGCGCTGCAGCTCAAGCCCAGCCACATGAGGACTGTGAGGAGAAGAGGGCCAGGCAGCAGCGGGAGAAGTGCGTGCCACGCGACCCCTCAACAGCAGCCTGCTGAGCACTCATGAGTCGCACTCGCGCTAGTTCCTCCCCTGCCCTGACCTGACCCAACCAATTGAAGCTGTCCAGGAGGTGGGGCAGCACGTGGACCCCCCGGCCACTCCTAAGGCTAGGAGCCGGACATGCCAGCTGCTTCCCAACCTGGGAGCTGCCCTGTCAGCAGTGCTGACCGGAGCCACCAGGGTCCCTTTTTGACTGGATGTTCCAATCCAAAACTGGACACCTGGTCACCCTAAGCACACACAGAACATTATGCCTGTTCGTGCACCTTTCAAACCTAGGCTTACAGCTATCACAACCCCACAGTGCCTTCAGTTGCTACCAGGAAACAGATTTTTCTGTACACTCTTGACTGCATGTACATAAAATAAAAGCAGTGGCACAGACAAACTAGCAATATTATAATGGACTCCTGCACTGATGGGGACCCTTTCATCCAAGGATCTCAAAATGCCTTGTGAGCATGA